TCTAGCCTTCTTTTTTGCTCTTCACTCGTCAAGCTTTTCCTTGTCCATAGAATAGCTTAATTTTTTCCTAAGTTCGTAGCTTTAGCAGCAGCAAACCTTACTTAGCTAGCGCTACCTTTAGAAACAAGGCCCTAGCTTATCCTACTCCTTCTAGTCCTTTTCTTTTATGGATTCCTATTCTTGATCTTTATATTGATATTCTACAGTAATAGGAGGTAGTAGATCACGAATAGGGCTGTAGCTGCAAGGAAGAATGCTTTGGACAAGGAAAGGGTAAAGAATTTTATGCTCGTAGTAGCTTCTAGGTATCCTATTTTACTGCTGTCAAGCCGCTTACAAAAAGAAAAAGGGCTGACATCGCTCCTCACACATCAACGACCGGATAAACTGAAATTGCACAACCAACAAAAAGCTAATTTCTTGCTTCGGGAGAGGAGTTATAACTTAGACTCAAAAAAGAAGTCGAAGTCAATGGCCCTTGTGATAAGGGATTACAACAAAAAGAATCCTTAGCCCCTCGATCTGAGTCCCTTTACCCGAAAGCTTAGAAAGCTGGAAGGCTAGGAAAAAAGTCAAGACAAGAAGATATAGGATGACGATCGTTCGGGAACCATAACTAATGGGGCACCTCACTCGGAAAAGAATAAATGAAAATTAGGACGAGAAATCTTACAACAAATTAAATTACATTAGGCATTGCCCTTTACACACACGATTTGGAATCCTTACACCAATAACAACACAATATAGATATGGGATGGGACTGCCGACTTGAAAGAATCGAATCACCAGTTCCGCGCTTGTACCCTGACGGAGATTCTCAATAAAAGAAGGAGGATGGGGATCCAATAGAGTCTTTAGCCTGAGTCTTAGAGTAGGCAAGAAAGTCTACTCAATCAATGAGAACCACAGCGAAATGCTTCTGGCATGCCAAAGCAAGGTAAGCGATCGATTCTCTTTCCCAAAGTCAAATGCTACTGTACTGAGCCTAAGCTTCATGCCCTTCTTGAATCTGAACTCAATGATTGAAAGTTCAAGCGTGCTCTCATTGGCAAGAAAAGAGGCGTCTATTTCTTTTCTCGGAGCTCTTCCCTTTGCTATAATAGGGATTGAGGTAGAAGCTTTTATAAAAAGTTTATCTATTTGCCTTTTGGCACTTTCAGAATAGAATATGCTGTTAGATTTAGCCTGCTATCTTACTAGAAGAAAGATTCCAAGTTTCAAAGGTGTCTAGCCTTCTTTTGTAGCAAGAAGGTGTAAATTAAGTAAATCAGAAGCATGGACTGTGATTGAATGTTCTCTTACAAGACTAAGGTCTTTTGAAGACTAAGGTAATAGTGCTGGTCTACCCCGATTTACCCATTGATAGGGACCGAAAGCCTTGGTTTCTCCACCCCTATTTGATTTGTGGAGCTCTATTGAGAAAGACCTTGGAGGCCACGTGCCAATCATGGAACCATCGATTGCCAAGTCGCGTCCTTTCATTCGCAGAAATCCATGATCCCTCACGATGTTGATTAATGAGGTTGATGGAGCTTACTCGCCCTCGGTCAGTAGAACCGTGAGGGAAGAGCACCCGCTTACTATATTAGTAGGGCACACTACTCTAGGAACAATAGCCAGCCGACTAGTCTCTTATACAATCATTTGTGGACTTAGATATGCCCCTGCTCTTTCTAGTGGTATTGCCCCCGGGGATAGAGAGATTCTGAGACATAGACAAAGAAACCCTATTTAGTTTAGGGAAACTAATTCCTTCTTCTTGTCCTTCGATTGTGCCCATCTATTAGGATAGGAATCGGAGTTAGCGGGCTAACTATGTCGGGATTACCGGGCTAAGGTAACTATGAAAGGTAGGACCTCATCTCATTCCGGAAATGAAAAGATTCACTATTTCCCTGTGCTTTGACGGAGAAGTGCGGTAACCGCGCCAATCAAATAAAGTTTCCAAGCCTTCAAGCCAACCCCGTCCGATAAGGTAAGGTGTCCTGCCCCGTTAAGCCCGCCTTTGATTTTTTAGACCCAACAACCGACTTTTAGCTTAGCTCCACGAGAACCAAGCCACTGAGAGATCTCTACATATAGTTGGAAAGCCAGCACGCTCGGGGACAGATTCCCAGGGGATTTTGTTAGAAAGCACGGCCACCATTGGTCAGTACTAGACACAAGTAGCATACCTCTTATAAATAGATCTGGGGTTGTAGAAACAACCCCCTTATCTCTACTTTCAGGACAGGAAAGGGCGATCCATTTCCAGCCTAAAAACACTCGACTTTGAGCCTAGCTCAGGAGAAAGGCGCCAGAGGAGCAGCTCGACATAGAGTTAATTTACTTATTCAATTCAGGGCGCGGGAAGTCTCTCCTTCTTGCCTTGGGGTCGAGGTCAAGACCAGAAACTCGTAGACTACCCTTTTAGGAATAGATCTTATCTTAGAACCTGGGGTTCTTTGTTAGCACCTTCTCGCACCTCTAAAAGGCGGATCCATTTATATACGAAAAACCACGACTTTCTTTTATTACGGTCGGAGATAGCTGCTACTTACCTACGACTACTCGGCGGTCTCAGAGACCGAACTAATCTATTAACACTTAGCCTTATCTATTAAATGAAACCTAGCTCACGAGAACAGAGCAGAGGTCGAGTCTCTAGAATCCGGAGATAGCCATTTGGCTTTGGGCACCTTTTCCCAACTTACAACAGTACAAGAAAGGTTGATCCTAGGTATAGCCTAACAAACCCGACACCGACTTTATATTACCATAAAATAAAGAGTGCTTGGTCCTAGCTGAGCTACCCCTCTTAAAGTTAGGACTTTTCCTTCTTGCTTTTCCCTTGCTTTCTCCCTCATGTAGTAAGGAATTGAGAGGCAGGAAGCCAACCCCCAAGCAAGTGGATAGATATAATCTTAGGGTAAGTACTGCTATGAACTTCCTTTGTGTATTGGGAGTGTAATAAGGCTTCTAAGCTTCTAGTTTTCCCTTGCTAGTCTTTGATTGAACCATTCTCATTGCCTCTATCCTTCTATCTAGAGAGATAGATGGGTCAAGTCCTTACTTTCTTCCTTCCTAAGGTCAGGTTTTTCTTACTTGTTTTCGTTAGCTCATCTTTGAATCAAGAAGCGCATCTTCAAGTGCCTCTTAAATGATTCTCCTAGTGATGTTAATATCATTCGATCGTCTTGTGTTACTATATCCTCATCCTCTATCGGACTCTTATGTCTTAGCTTCTTCTCTTAGTCCTATCGTCCTGTTGTTAACTGTAATTTAGAGGAGCCGGCTAATAACCAATTAGCTCGTCTGGCTGGTAAAGAGGGAATAGCTAGGAGGCTTTCCTCTTCCTAAATAGGGATATGGCACTTCGTGTTGTCAGTTAGCTACTGCTGCTGGATTACTCAAGGTTGAGTCATCAATCACTTTACGAGGTTATCCTTTATATAGGTACGAGCGTAAGGGTCTTGCCTGTAGGTTTAGAGCAATAAAGAATGAATGCATTAGAACGAATTCGATCTAGCCAGCTCTTGATAGTAGCTCCCCTTTCTAGGGTTAGCGCACGATAGGAATGAATTAAACAAACAAATAAGATCTATTGAGTGAGAGCTATAGAAGAGAAGGCCAGGCCAGAAGAGAATGTCTTAGCTGGGAGCGGTGATTGTTCTTGTAGTCGGATAGGGCACAAGGGCACTTTCGGGATGTTTAACCCTGTTGCGTAGGCGGAATAGAGTAGCTTGTTGAATTCCCCAAAAAAGCAAGACTCAATCTTTGAGACCGTGGGCCTCAACGTTCACTTCAATCGCAAGTCTTGACTTGAAGACCCTTGAGCTACAGCACTAAGCCAAGGAAGGGCAAAACATGGGGTCATCCTTTTTCGTTGAATGTCCCGGGCCCAATTTAGAGAAAGAACTTTTCCTTTGCTGCAGGGCCGGGCATTCAAGCGCAGAGATGGAGATGGCTCTGCTGCGATAGAGGATGAAGGAGAACCCGTAGGCAACTGGTCGTTCCTAGAAGATGATAAAGATGCAGGCTGCTCTTTATAAGCAGTTGATCTTGATCCAATTCCCGATGCATGGGGCGAAATGCTGGTTGAAGCCCCCGAATGGGAACCTATCGAACGGGAATGAGTAGTAGTGCTGCTTGCTATAAATATCTTTTTGAGGACGTCAGAAATTCTTGTGAATTATGAATCTTCTTCGATTGATGGATAACAACAATAAAGTGGAAAAACGATTTTTTTTAGTTTACGATTAGAAATATTTCCACTCGTAGTATTATGACGCTATCCCTCCTTCCAGCGCATGCTGCGTGTTGGTAAATCCAATCGGCTTATATTCATTTTATAAGTTTTCGCGTCCCCAAGCCGAGCTCTCCCAAAGACTACTTCTAGTTCCTCGGGGAACGAGCGGCTCCTGCTCCTAGTTCTCTAGCTGTCTTTAGCGCTTCGCTTCCCTCGCTTGCTCTTATAGAATGCATTCTTTCTCTTATTTGAATTCAGCATTGAAAAGAGATCACTAGGGAATTGAATCGCTAGTACCGATTCCTTCTGATCTGATTGAGTGGGATGCTTATCCGGTGTTAGTACGGTGGATGCATCTAATTTAATGTGTTAAGCATAGTGACACAGATCCCTT